TAGGGTAAAATGACCATTATACCTCTAATTCAACTTGGTCCATATCCAAGGCCCAAAACCATAATATGAAAGGCCCAATACTAGGTGGACTTCCCGAGCCCACTAATGGCCCAATTTTCTAAATTGGGCCCAACCCCTTTAATGGGCCTTACCCTAAAGCCCAAACATATTCTTAGCCTAAAATATCTGAATTCTGATGGCCCACTAAGGCCCAAAGAAAATGAGTCCAATGTATGTCCCAAACCGAGGCCCAAAACACGCAAATCCCACATCTGATGAGTACACCCCGCGTACTCCTCTGTACGCTAAGCGTACTGGCTGAATGGTGTGTACGCTGCGCGTACATGCATTTACGCCCAGCGTACTCCACTGTTAAGTCACTTTTCCATTAAGCACTTAATACTCTATTCCAACGGCTATAAATATAGATCCAAGTCCTCTTCAACGTATTAATCAATAAAGTCACTGACTTGGTGACTTTACATGACCCTAATAAGCCCAAACTCCAAAATTGGCATTCTATTTTCATAAAAATGATCTTAACTCATGCATGAACCCAATAGGACATCCAAGATGGCAACTTTCTACCTTAGGGACTCATTTAGAACTGAGAGTGGCAACTGTAAGCCTAGGAGTCGGATTTGAACCATAAAGCTCCATACTTGGGACCAAAATGACTCCAAAACCAAACTACACTAGATCTAAGCATACATGAGGAAAGTTTATGGCTTTATACCTCAAGGTGATCTGAAATGGAACCGCAATCTTGGATCTACTGTTTATTCTTTGATCCACCACCTTGTTATGCTCCTCTCTTGCTTAGAAAATGGCTTCACAACACCAAAATGCTCTCTAATGGCTTCCTAAGCTCCAAGAACACTCAAGGAAGGGTTAGGGTTTCGTGGTGGCTGTCTAAGGATGAGAGGGAGGCTGATATCTAGGTCATTATGTTCTTTATATAGTGCTTAGCCCCTAAAATTAGGGTTTAGGATCTCTGAGTGTACGCTGGGCGTACTTCCAGTACGTTGGGTGTACTGCTCGAACCTCCCGTATTTCACTTATCGAATACTACGACGGGCGTACCTCAGCTTACGTTGGGCGTACTCACCTAGTTGCCACCTTGCATGCATGGGATGAAATGCAAGCTTCTCTATTCAGGGACTAATTCTGCCAACAACTTCAAAGTACTATAACTTCCTCGTTCTAAGTCCGTTTCCGACGAACTTTATATCCACGAAAAGGGTGGCGAAAAGCCCTACGCTCCCAGCTACACACCCGAGCCCTTCAACCATCCGAATAAGACCCAAGACCCATAAAAGACTGAATCGTCCGATTACGCTTATACTCTTGGCTTCCGTGGTCACAACCGAACACTCTCAGAATCGGGTGTTACAATATGCTTATATTTGAAAAAAAAATAAAAAATTAGATACATTTTATTAATATAGTAAATAAAACAAAATTATCTACCCCGTCACTTTTTTTTATTAAACCACACATTATTCACTCCGACCCTATGATTTTGAATTGTTCATGTTTTGCCTATTTTTCCCGGTCCATATTACTTGGTTGAGTCACATGTGTTTACCAATCATTAGTTTATTCATGAAAAAAAACATGGCTCAAAGCACATCTGTTAATTGTAGCAACGCTTCGTCTTCCATCTACTCTAAAAATGACGATTTCCTTCATAAGTTTGATTTTCATGCTATTGTTGATCTCCAACATGTAGATGTGGTTTATATACTTAACTTTCATTTGTGAAATATACCTTATGTCAAATAGTTTTTGGATTATTTTTACCCTCATGTTTCATTTTTATTTTTTTATTATATAATTTAAACTTATATTAATATTTCTCAAAAAAAATATATTGATTGTTGTCGGTACGATTAAGCATCTGTGTACTGATGTGAAATTGTACTATTTGGCTCGTACTAAATGTCAAGAGAAAACTATAAAAATCGTTTTAATGCATGAGGACCAACAACAAGATAAAGTTTTTTGTTGTTACACTTCAACTTGCATGAACAAAGACATATCTGTTGTTCCAAGGTTTTCAATAATTCTTTTATACATATTATTATAATCTTCGGTTAAATTTTCTAATTTTATATTACTGAATCTGTTTATATCAATGGTTTTAGTTTCAAAATCACCATTAGAGTACAAGACTTTACCGGTGTGGTGTCACTTACGTTATTTCATCGTGACGCAAAGAAACTTCTGGAAAAACCGCACAAGAGTTGCTTCAAAAGTTTAATGAGGTTATCGATATTAACTTCATTTACATAAAACTAATCTTTACTTTTTGTCTATCTATTTTATAACCGTTCATTTTTTAGGAGAGTAATATAGAGATTTATCCATCTGCTTTGAATGTACTTTTGGATAAAACTTTGACATTCAAAATTCAAATTTCACATAATAATTTGAAGAACAAAGTTGATGGTTATGCAATCTCGAAATTCACTGTTGATAATATAATCAATGTTGAATTGGAAAAAAAAATTAACATCGATCAGGTAACATTCTTTTACGAAGAATACTACAAAGACTACACTTATTAAATTTCATTTTTTATATTTCAGTTGATCAACTAACATATTTCTATGTACTACAAATGTAGGCACCAAAATCCGATTCGTTTAACGTTTTATCGGCAAATCGTACTTCTGGAGAAGGCAAGCCAAAACTGTTAATTTCAAAACAAGAAAAATAATATATGATTTTCTTGATTTTGTTTGAGTAGTTGGGTGATTTGAGTACTACTGATTTCATATTATGTTTACATATTATTTGTTTTTTCGGTTTAGTTTTTGATGACTTTGTTTCATACTATTCGTTTTTTGGTTTGAATTTTGATAATTTAAATACATTTTGGGTTTTATGAAATGTTTAATTATTCAAACACTCATTTGTGCGCTGACCATCATATATGTTTGTAAATCAACATGATATATCTTCTTAATTATTGTATTTCTTTCCCTGTTTACATATGAAATGAATGAGTATTGACATTATTAATAGTTACTATAAACAAATATATACATATGAAATGAATGAGTTTTCTTTCATCATACATCTAATAGTCAGCACATGAAGGACAATTATGGTGCATAGTATGGATCTTTTGAAACTCTGCCCACATGTTTGCATTCAATAAGTAGAAACAAAGTTTGTTGCTCAAAACCCAAAAGACACTTTTATACTTGAATCATACCCCACCCACTATAGTCCCCACCCCTACCCGTTTCTGTATTTGATTGACAAATAATTCATCATCACATTTCCAAATGTGCAATTAACTATTTTTTCCCCGTAAAATGTAAAAGTGAACAATTACATATGAAGCTTAAATGATATAATTACACAAAGAGATAAAAGTACATTACTGTTGGTTGCATCTCGGCCGACGAAGGTTAAATGCATGATATATAAACGTACTTCCATTTTGTTTGTGAAATATACCATCCAAATTTTATTTATAATTCTTATTTAAAAAAAGTTATGTTTTTTTCTTATTAAATCATTGTATTTTCAGGCGATACATAAAACTTTTTCTTAATTGAAGAGCTGGAACTTTGAATGTCCAGGGTCGCCCTCTTCATCTTTGAATCGGCCATTTAGTCATCATCTCTTTGTTATTGATATTTTTCAACCACAAATCCAGTATTTGTTCTCGTCCTAAAACCTGGTTGATGGTTTTTGTCCTGTCATCTTCTAAGCCATCAAAACCAGGTTTTGTTTAACCTTATCATACTGTAAAGACACGGTAAAAGCAAGTACTTTACAAAGTTTACAATCATTCATAAACTTTCACCTTTTATATCAAAGTCACTGTCATTGCTATATTGATTTTGATAGATACGGTTGATATATGTTAATAGATTCTACACTTGTGTAAATTTTTTGACAACTACTTTGTTCTTATTATTGATCTTTTACCCGTGGTTTCCACGGGTTGTAACTTTGATAATCAGACATTTCGTGTTTTAAACATTTCAATATAATCAATAACACGAAGTCTATTTATGTTATTTTATCTTATTTTTTTATTGTGTCGGCTTTTTATAACTTTATATGTATTTTTTGTATATGTTCTCTTGCGTTTTACGCGGATTATAATCTAGTTATTGATTTTAATTTATTAATAATATATATTACACATAAATGTACGTTATTTGTTTAATGTCTTATTATTATTATTATTATTATTATTATTATTATTATTATTGTTATTGTGTGACCTTCACATATAATTAGAAATATAGTTACATTACTTGCATATTAATCAAACAAACTTATATTTGTGCAGGAGACAAAATATATAAACTCTACTAGTGGTAAGCGTCTAACATCATGTCACTACCATTAATTACATATGAATGTTTATCTCTACAAAACACATATTAACTTGTAATATTCAATGCCATGTCGTTTTATGTCCCTTTGTTTTGACATCAATTGAACCTCATACTTATATTAGTTCAATAATAGGTTTCTCGACGTGAAACTCGAATAAGATTGTCACATTCAGTTTACCAACTAGTCAATGTCCTTTGGCTCTGATTATATGCTCACATTATTCAACTAATCGGGAGGCCTAGTCATATCACACTCTCATCGGGTAGATACCCAAGAAAAAAAAAATTATGTTGACTATATTTATTTATCAAGTGATTGAAACTATGTCTGATAATAGAGTTTATAAACTTTATAATAGACTTTATTCGGAACATCATTTGACTATATTCCAAAGCATAACGATCCATTTTTTTTCTAAAGCCAAACATATATGCCAGGTTGAAGGATATATAGACAACTATTTGTTAAGATTTACCAATAACGCCGATACATGAAATGATGTTTTCATTATATTACCACTAAGTGGCCCGATATTATACTTCTATCTGCAGTTAAAATTAGTTTGATATCATTTTAAATTTCTACTAGAAAATTTTATAGAATAATTTAATAGGCACCTTTTAAAATGTAAGCGTATGATTATGAATTATTAAAAGCCACATATCCAAACAACTCATGGTATAACACTAGTTTATACAGGTCAGATACGTAAGTTGTTTGGTCTCTACATTCTGTCCCAAATTCAAAGCATCCAAAAATCCCGTTTGCTACAAGTGAAAGGAAGTCTTTTTAGGGTGGTTGATGGTGGTGCTATGACAGTCTAAGTGCCATTGCATGAAGTAGAGCTCGCTTCTGAGATGCATTGATCACAAGATTCGTTTCTGCATTCTCCAGCACATCAGCAACAATCCCAGCAGCATGACCAAGTGGTTCCTCAGATGATCTTTTCAGCATGAAAGCCTAAAACATTTATAAACATCAGACTATTAGACAAGTTTAAGAAAAGCAATTGATAAGAAAGAGAAAGAGATGCCACCTGTCCATGGTGTGCAATGGTCAATGTGCATGGGGACTGCAACCATGGCTCTCCATCAATTTGAACAGGCAATGGTGCAAGAAGCTGAATCTTTATTAACTTCCCTTGTGCAAGCCTTCGTGCTCGAGAAAGCCCAACCTAATAACATTTTCATTTTTCAAATGTTTTTTATACCCAAAATATTATAATTATAATTATAATAATAAACCTGAAGCTTTCCGAGATGCCAAGTTCCTGATATGCTCACAACTTCCAACATTTTATCATGCATAGACTGAGGGTCAAAATTATCGTTGCTTTCGTTTTCATTTTGCCACAAGTCTACACCTCCCATATAACTCCCAATATTTGCAATAAGCACCCCTTCCGCATCCTAAATTAAAAAAAAAAAAAAAAAAAAAACATAAAATATACCAAAAATTCAAGAAATTGAAATGAAAAACATCGGACTAACCTCCGGAACCTCAACGTCAACTCCATCTACAACCACCCGAACTTGCCATGGATAATCCGCAAGTGTTCTATCCATCATACTCCTCGCACCTTCTCTAGCGTATAGAACTTTATTCATAAACTGTAATCACCCCCAAAACTCACTCGTTAATCACAACTCACATCTATTGATACGAATCATGAATTACTATCATTAAACCCTAATTTCTGTTCTTCATCATCTATCTTATAATTTCAAAAGAAAATGGGGAAGTAACCTGGTTATAGAATTTCTCTGGATTCTCTTCCCTCAAATTGTGAATATCAAGAGCAACCTTTGCATCACATCCAACCCCTGAAAACGTACAACGATTAACTCATTAAGATCAATTATCACAACATAAACTGGTAAAATACATGTAAAAATGAAAGCAATTAAGCATACCGAGATAATTATTCATAAATTTTGGGGCACGAAGAGGTCGACCCCTATGATTAGCAATAGAAATCTTCCACCTATCAAGAACAGTAACTGCAGCATGCTCCATGTGTTGCAGCATCATGCAAAGTCCTCCTTGTCTCTCTACAGACCCCAAACCACCACCCCAATTCAAAACCCTAGCCAAGTCATTCCCAGTTCCAGCAGGTAGAATGGCTACAGGAGGGGGTGAAACGTAATTTTGCTTCTCAATTGCATCCAATACCCACCCTGCTGTTCCATCTCCTCCACATACAAGAATCCGGAAATGAGGTACTCTTCTGAATAGATAAAGTCCAACTTCTGGCCCTTCTGTTGAACTCAACTCAAATATCTACAAAATGTTTCATCAAGATTTTAGAAATTTTGGTCAAAAGATAAATCAAGAATCAATCAATATGAAGCTATGAAGCTATGAACCTGAACAGGGTTCAAAAGAATATTCATTCTTAGCCTGATTGAATCACCACGTTTAGCACCACTTTTTTTGTTGATGAAAACAAGAAGTGGTCTTGCATCAGGACGCAAGTTCACAAGCTCATATCTCTGCATCATTTGGACCTTTTGGGATTCATCTCTCTGATCTTTCCTGAAAGTCAACTTTTTGTTGACCATGTCACTGTTACTATTCCCACCACCACCACTACCACCATCATCTTTAACATCATTATTCCCATCTGGTGTACTTTCTGTAGACGATTCCCCTATACCTTTATCTTTATCTAAATTCACTCGATTGAAATTCCCTTTGTTTTTCTTACTTTGACTTGTGATACTTGCACGAACAGAAGAAGCAATCTCATTGGCTCCATAAGTAATGGAACTCAAGATTCCACCAGATGATGATCTACCAAGTCCTTTAACATAAAGAGGGGATAAAATCAATCTTTTAAAAGGACCCATGTCACAAATATCACCTGTTTCACGATACATGCTGCTATGACAATCAACATGGATTAATCTTTGACACCATAAACAACACCATATAGGTGATCCACCAAGGAAAGAAGCACTACATGGCTCTTCACAATGTGTACAAAAAGATGACCCCTCTGGTTGATCTATCACCTCAGTCCACCTTATAGCCCATTGGTGTAAAACATGGTCAGATCCCACCATGGACACACATTTACAATCTTTATGAGCATTTGCTGAACAATTGAGGTGAGCTAATGCACCACATATGCTACATCTATGGATGAAGCTTCCTGAAGACACCATTGGTCCAAGGGGTTGAGAAGGTGACATTGATTTTAGACATACGCAACAGTTTAAGCTTTTTCCACGAGCTATGGCTTCTAGATACCATGTATGAGGGGAGACAAGATCTATGATTGATTTTGGATCTTTTTTTGTCCCTGCAATGGCTTTTGTCCAACTAAGACTGATGTTTCTTCTCCATTGAAAGGCTGTGTAGACGATTGTTAGGATGCCAATTAGGCCTGCTATAAAACAAGAGATTATGAAGAGATTTGATTCTGCTAGTTCTGATGGACTCTTGTTCATCCATGCAGCTGGAAGGATGTAATCATCTCTATCCTCATCCATTCTTTATGTTTTTGTATTCTGCATTCTATGAATTTCTAACTCGTGTTCCTAAAAGGTCCTACATATGACCAATAAAGTTGTAGAGAAGTCAACATGAAGTCATCTTGAATGCTTCAGGCAGGACTTGGGGAAGAACTCAAGAACATAGAAGCATCACCTACAAAAGCACAAGAGACTGGGTGATAGTTTATCAAATAAATATGTTAACTAGTTTGAAGATGACAAAATAAAAGTCTTGTGGAGTAAAACTAATAGCATATTAGATACTAGAATCTAAATATGGAAAGGGTAGATAGGTAATTTTAGCAATTTTCATGGATGTCGTGAAAAGGAAAAATTTATAATTTTCGTGGGCTGGAGGGAGCTATTATGATCAAGATGTTCATGTGAGTTGAGATACTTTCAAGAAACCACACTTCCAATTGAAATCAAGCAAAAGTGCTACTTTAATAACAACTAGTTATCTATCTTCCTAATTTCTAGCAGAAATCAAAACTAGCATGCCCAAAAACAAAGGTAGAAGATGATAATGCAAATAGTAAAAACATCATCAATCGATTCACCGCATAAATTTCAGCCAATAATCAAATGGATTCTACATGAAATAGTTGCAAACATTCACATTGGATGCATGTTTCAATTGTTTCATTACTCATTTAGCATCTTTTTTCACATGAACGGATGCTATATATTTGGACGATGAGGGTATTAGCACATAAACGTTTTTAACACACAATATTAACGACATTCATGACAAATTAGAATGTAGATTTTGGGGGAAACGAGGGAGTATGAAGAGGGCAATACGAGCAACCCGAAATCAACAAACAGCGATATACTTACAGAGTGTGTTTGTGAACCAAATACGAAAGATGTGGATTCGAGGAACGAACAGAAAAACCCTAAAACAGAAACGAGCATCCTGAATCACGCAAACAACAAATGCAAAAACGAATGAATATGTATTGATTTTATTCGCCAGAAAAACCAGGAATTTTGTAGATCCATGGAGCTTTGGGATTTGGCAATATATACATTGAATTGAATGGTATGGTATGTACGCGTTTTTGTTGGTGGGTCTTTTCTGAATTTCTCTGGAAATGGTTATCAGAGGGAAAAACAAGATTCCTTCCGGTTTGTAATTTGTTCTCCCCGGCGAGACAGAAAATAAATGTATGCGTGGCATGAAAAAGCAGACAATGGCCCACCTCGTACGAGGATTAGTATTTTCTTTTTTCTTTTTAAATATTTTTTTTTTAAAACGACGAAAACCAGTCAACAAGGACCGCACGTGATGTGCCTACAGCCCTGCACCTTTACAAAGTGTGAAGAGAAAATGCAATATAGAGAAATGAAGTAAAAGCAACCAATTAGTTATATTGTTTCAATAAAAAGGATTTTTTTTTAAATGAATATTAACTCCAAAATATTTAAGGGACAAAACTGTATAAATGGTTTTTTAAACTTTTTATTTTGTTGCGAGTTTTGTCCAATTTACTTTCAATTTTTTTATAATTAGGGGTGTTTATGGATGGTTAATGGAACCGAAATAATATTTCGGAATGTTAACTGAAACCACCAGTTCATTAATTCTTTAAACCTAAACCTAAATCGAAAAACACGGTTAACCAGCTTTCGGTTAACCTGTTTTTCGATTAGGTTATTCGGTTAACCTATTAACCGTTTATGAATTAATAAATGTTTTTCGAAACTAAAAAACTCAACAATTAATATTTAAAACAAGGATAATAATTTGCTACAATCTTCAAGAAAAACAAAAAAAAATTGAATATAAGTATAAAGTTTAATCAAAGATCATCAAAATTATTTATTTGTTATGGTAATTGTCATAATTTTAGAAGAACACTTCAATATTAGATAAACTAGGTGTGAGACTCATGTATTACATAAATTTATTTAAAAAAAAAAACTAAATAAAAAATTCTAAACATTTGAGAAATTTAAATTTATAAGAAAAATGAGAAAAATAATGAATTATAAAAATTAAAGTGTTTTTTTTTTCTCTTTTAAATTTAAACAAATAAATTAGATAAATAAATAAAGAAAATTAATGAATCTTTAATTTAGTAATTTTGAAAATTAGAAAGAAAGTTATTTAATGAAATTGATATGCATTTATTATTGCATTTAAATACTATCTAGATTTAATAAAATGAAAAAACCATAAAATGACAAGTGGAATAAAAATTAATTTAAAATAACCACAAAATTACATGTGGCAAAATAAATGAGAATGTGACATTTGGCAAAAAGATCTTTATTTATTAGGGAAGACATGGTTGTTTAAAAGGAATCGTAGCATTAGTTTTATTAATAAATTTTGAGATGTTATTGATCTAATAGAATGATAATGTCATTTCTTATTTTGAATTTAAATTTTGTTGCAATTTGGACATGCTATAGTGAACAGTAATATATCATTCTATTGCAAATTGCACATCTTATTTTTGAATAGCTATTAAGACAATAAAAATTTGGTTTTCGCTTAACCGTCCATGGCAAAAAAAAACATGAACCGTAAATGTCAAAAAAATTCGGTTCGGTGAACCTAAAAATTGATACGGAGTTTCGGTTTTGCGGTTCGGTTTTCGGATATTTTGAACACCCCTGTTTATAATGATGATTTTGTCATTATCCTTTTCTTTTTTAGTTTTTTTTATTAATTTTATTAATTTTTTTTATTAAAATAAATAAAAAACAAAATAGAAGACCAATTAACCTCATCCTACATCTCTCTCTGTAACATCCATTCCAGGTATTAATCAACTTTGTATGTATTAACTTTAAGTTGGGTGGCCACGGCGTGGTGGAGCATTGTAACGCCCGTAGATCCGGGCTACTCAATTTAGAGACGATAAGCATCAAAAATGATTTTTTGATGGAAGATTATTTAGAAGTATTAATCTTAACCAAGTTGTAGTATATGTCTCAAGGTTTCCGGATATATAAAGAATGTCGAAATCCGAGTTATAACGAAGGAGATATGGCCTGTCGAAGTTTCGCGACAAAACCGGCACGGTGTCGAATGTCGTAAAAAGTGAGTTTTTGATAAACTACTTTCTAGCCTTGGTGATCTAAACGAAAGTCGTAGTACTTGTTAAACCGAGAAGTTCGATAAATAGAACGTCAAAATCTGACTTCGTATGAGGAAGTTATGCTTTTTCGAAGTCTCAACTTAGCAGTAGACAACTAAAAACTCGAATTTTAGATCGAGTGATTTTTAGCCGACACGACCTAAACAAGAATCGAAGGTCTCATAAATAGTA